ACGATGCTCCTCGCCCGCCTCGCCGGAATTCGCATCTTCGGCACCGGCGGCCTCGGCGGCGTCCACCGCGGCGGCGAAAACAGCATGGATGTCTCCGCAGACCTCACTGAGCTCGGCCGCACCCGCGTAGCCGTCATCAGCGCCGGCTGCAAGGGCTTCCTCGACATCCCCCGCACTCTTGAGTTCCTCGAGACCCACGGCGCCTTCGTCGCCACCTTCGCCGATGGCCGCACCGGCAAGGTTGACTTCCCCGCCTTCTGGGTCCGTGAGAGCGGCACGAAGAGCCCCCTTGTCGTCGAGACCGAGCGAGAAGCCGCCGCCATGATCCTCGCCCAGGAGAGGTTGAACATTGAGTCCGGCATGCTCTTCGCCAACCCCATCCCCGAAGAACACGCGATTCCTCGTGAAGAGATGGACGCCGTCATCGAGACGGCCGTCAACGAGGCTCTGGAGAAGGGCTTCACGGGAGCGAGAAACACCCCGTACGTCCTCGGCAGGATCAGGGCGCTGACAGAGGAGAGGAGCACGCTGGCCAATGTAGCGCTGGTGAGGAACAACGTGGCGCGGGCCACCAAGATCGCCGTCGAGCTGTCCAAAATGCTGAACGAGGGCACGGAGTCCGTGTAAGTGAGCTGCTTCGTGTGTATATAGCCCAGCCAGAAGATAGGTTCTGACTGCGTAGATAGCTCTTCAAGCAAGTTATTTACCGGATATGACGCTGCTGCAAAGCCTGCGACGAAAGTCGAAGCCCCTAAGTCGAGCAAGGCGGATGTCCTCGTTGCAGGCTCGGTAGCTATCGATCTAAGCTGTGACTACCATCCTCTGGGCGGCGTGAAGGAGGTCTCGCCTCACATGCACACTTCCAACCCCGCTTGTATTAACCAGTCCATCGGCGGTGTCGGTCACAATGTCGCCCTTGCCGCACACAGAGTGAGCAAGGATATGAGCGTCCGCCTTTGCAGCATGGTCGGAGACGATGTGTAAGCTATCTCCCTTCCCCTATTCGAATGTTACATGACTGAATTTCCCGCAGCGCAGGAAAGACGGTCCTATCCTCCCTTGAGTCATCCGGCCTCGACACAACCTACATCCGCCAACTTGGGTCCGAGTACCACCACTCGAACCGCACCGCCCAATACGTCGCCGTCAACGACGCCGAGAAGAACCTCGTGGTCGCCATGGCCGACATGGGAATCTTTGCCAACCACTCCTTCCCCGAGTACTGGAAGTCTGCCGTCTCGGGCGCGAAGCCAGGCTGGCTCGTCGTCGACGGCAACTGGAGCCCCAAGGACATCCGCGCCTGGATCCAGGCCGGCCGCGAGCAGGCCTGCGGCGTCGCCTTCGAGCCCGTGTCGACGGCCAAGTCGATCGGTCTCTTCCCCAAGGAGCACCCCCACCTGGGCGTGTTCCCGAACCCGGGCATCGATATTGCGTCGCCGAACAACTTTGAGCTAACGGCCATGTACACGGCTGCCAAGGAGAACGGTTTCTTCGACACGCCGGAGTGGTTTGAGGTCATCGATGCGTTCAACATGCGCGGTGCGAGGGATCGCTTCGTGCAGCTTACGTCCGCCGAGATGACGGATGCGGGTATTACGGTGCAGACTATCCATCTTCTGCCGTATATCCCCACACTTGTGACGAAGCTGGGGTCTAAGGGTGTGCTGTTGACTACGATCCTGGGACGGGACGATCCCCGTCTCAAGGACAGGAACGAGGAGAGGTGGCTTCTTACGAGGGCGCCTGTTGATCATCCTACTGTTGGAGGCGTGTACATGCGTCTTTTCCCACCGGCGGAGAAGGTTGCGATTGAGGACATTGTGTCAGTCAATGGTGTTGGAGATACCTTCCTGGGTGTCATGATTGCGGGCTTGGCAAAGGGAGGCAAGGTTCAGAACTTGATTGATGTTGCGCAGAAGGCGGCGGTATTGACTTTGAAGAGCCATGAGAGTGTGAGCCCGGATTTGGGTCGGTTAGATGAGGCATTGAAGGCTGCCGCGAGGTCTTGAAGGCGGAACTTTCAGGATTAGGACTTTACTGTGGAAATCAGCCAAAGGTCTAGGCAAATTTCAAGTGCAGCAAAAATGCGAATCTCAGGATCGGGAGGCTTTGGAGGAATGTTTCTTGGCATCGAGTATTCACGCTGCAGTACTGCCTCCAGGATGGTTAAAATTGCAGTGAAAGGAAAGGTAAAGAGACGATGTGACGGAGGGTACGGTAACCGGTAGGATTCCTGACCAAAGTGCGGCATGGCCTTTGGTCACTGGGCCTTCATGCTGTAGTAACATCTCTAAAGTGGTTAAAATCACAGAGAAATCCCGACAAATTCCATACTGGGTTCCCTAACCGAAGGACTTCCTAATCATCCGCGATCCTGCATTAGCTTGCTCCAAATTTCAGAAGCGTTGGCGCCATGATGCCCGGACAGAAGGCAGGCTCGTCATAGAGGAACAACACCAGAAATAGCCTCAGATACGTTTCAATGGTAACTTTCTGGTTATTTTCAGACATACTTTTATGTATAGAAACACACTCTGACCTGAATACCTTAAAATGCTGTCGTCTGCTAAGGTCGACGCCCCGCAATGAACTGAGAAAAAGAGTGAAGACTCCAGTCATGGTCGGCCAACTCCCGTCCTCAACAATGGCGTTAAACAGGTCTCTCGATATATCGGTATTTCGAATTGCTTATTACACTGAACCAAGGGAGCATAACTGTTCACTCAGCATACCCTACCTACGTACGCACCTTGGGTGATAGAATGTGTAGTAGCTCGGTCTGTGAAAGTGGTAAGAATGTTGTCCAATCCCTGGCTTCCTAGCTGTGATGAGGGGCAGTGTCCCACTTTCAGCCTGAGGAAAGAGCTTCGTCTCATTGGCTACCAGCCACTTGTGGCTGATGTCATCTGCCAATCAGACTCTGCGTCTTTCTGCAAGGCTGTGCGCCCCCAGTAAAAAAATTCTGGACGTCTTTGCAGTCGCCAACCCGCTCCCACCTCGATCGCTGGTGCGCCGAAGACCTCAAAATCCTTGTCATTCCCACGACCCCGACAATGGCCAACGAGCAGCCCTTCGAAGAGTTCCCCGACGAGGAGGAAATCACTTCCTCTTCGGAATCTGAGCAATCCGAGCTCGAAGAAGCCATCCGCCAGCGCAACCCGCAGACTGTCTTTGACGAGAAGGATTCAGACGAAGAGGAACTTGAGCGGTTGGTACTGGGAGGCAAGGCCGACTTTCGCGAACAGCTCTTCCGCAACGATGTTTTGGGCGATATCGAACGGTTGGAGAAGGAGAGGAATCAACAACTTGTCGCGCAAGACAAGACCACACTAGAGGATGCCGCCGACCATGACTTCTTCATGCTCGACACCGGTGTCCCCTCGGCCAAGGGCTCGCAAGCCGGCAAGCAGCAACCCGCCGCTGTTGATCCCAATGCACCGGCATGGGAGGACAGTGATGACGAGCGATTGACGGTGTCCCTGGCGAACGCGACGAGGTTACGGAAGCTGAGAATCAGCGAGGGCGAGGATGTCGTTAGCGGCGCCGAGTACAGCAGAAGGTTGCGACAGCAGTTCCTCCGACTGAATCCCCTGCCGAAGTGGGCTCAAGAATCTGAAGAGCGCCCCTCGAAGAGGAGAAGAAGGTCGTCAGCCGCTGCCTCCGACTCCTCCATCAGCTCCGACGAGGAGGGCAGCGACGATGACCTCTCCGCCGCTCCGCTGGAGAAGTTCCTTCGCGACGTCCACCGCCTTGCTGGCAAGGACTCGAATGGCAGGACCCGCCTTAGGCCAGAGACCATCGACATCCAGCGCACGCGCGAGATCCCCGACGCTCACAAGGCCTCTGTCAACAACCTTTCCTTCCACCCGAAATACCCCGTCCTCCTCTCCTCCAGCGTCTCGTCCGTCCTGTACTTGCACCACATCAACCCGACGGCACACCCTACTCCGAACCCGATGCTCACCTCAGTGCAAGCGAAGGGTGTCGACGTCCGCCGCGCCGAGTTCCTCTACCCGTCAGGCAACCAGATCTTCTTCGCCGGTCGTCGCAAGTTCTACCACAGCTGGGACCTCGAGACCGGCCAGGTGCAGAAGACCGCCCGGGTGCAGGGCCACCAACACGAACACAAGACCATGGAGCGCTTCAAGCTCAGCCCTTGTGGCCGGTACATGGGTCTCGTTGCATCCACCAGGAAGGGAGGTGGTATCGTCAACATCATCAGCACCGAGTCCAGGCAATGGATCGCCTCGGCGCGCCTCGACAGCAGACACGGTATCGCGGATTTCGTGTGGTGGAGCAACGGCGAGGGTCTCAGTATTCTTGGCAAGGACGGCTCCGTCGGCGAGTACTGCGTGGATGACCGCAAGTTCCGCGCCGTATGGCATGACGAGGGCTGTGTGGGCGGCATCGTCATCGCTTTGGGAGGCCACCAGGGCCCTGAATGTTTGGGCGAGGACAGGTGGGTGGCGATCGGTTCCAGCAGCGGTATTACCAACATTTACGACCGCGAGGCGCTCGTCACAAAGTCCAAGGCGGGCGAGGTCAAGGTTGTGGAGCGCCCCGAGCCGACGCGCACCTTTGAGCAGCTCGTCACGCCCATCACGACGCTGACGTTCTCTCCGGACGGCCAGCTGATGGCTTTTGGTAGTTATGAGAAGAAGGACGCGCTGCGTTTGGTACACCTGCCTACTTGCACCGTCTACAGGAATTGGCCCACGGCGCAGACCCCTCTGGGTAGAGTCACTGCTGTTGCGTTTGGAAGACAGAGCGATCTGTTGGCGGTTGGTAATGACACGGGCAAGATTAGACTGTGGGAGATACGGTCCTAGAGCAGAGAGCACGGGCAGGAAGTTTGTATAGACGGCTGGCGTATCAAAAGTTGGCTGCTGGGTAATTACTGTTCCATGAATACCAGAATCCCTTCATACCCCTCCAATGATCCCTATCCATCTCTGATTCCAATCCAACCCAAGACAAATGGCCGAAGTTCGTTTCCATGCTTAGTAGCAGCGACTGAGCTCACGCATGAGGGCGCGCATGGGAGTTCCGCGGGTAATGAGATCCTTGGGAACCAACTTCTTGCTCTTGCGCGACCAGTGGGCAAGCTTGTAGACGTTCTTGAAGAAGATGACGGTCTCGGGCTTGGGGACGGCGTCGAGGAACTGACGAATATTGACGTGGACAGTTCTGATAGCCTGAGAGATAAAACCCGTGGAGTTAGCGTGTATTCGAAGGCTATGAAGTCTCAGACGCTTACTTTGCGACACTGTGTCTTGCTAGGCAGGTCGGTGGGCAGACCCAAGTCACCGCAGAGGCGCTGCCAGTCGTCGAGGTCACCATCTCCAAAGTACTCATCCCAGTCCGAGATGAGCTCAGCCAAGAAGGCCTCCTTCTGGGTCTTCTTGTCGGTCTCCTTGTCGGCGATTCCAATATCAGACATCTTCTGGGTCATCTCCTCGTTGAGCTTGTCGACCATGTTCTGCGCAACCTTCTGCGCATTCTGGAGACTGCGGATCTCATCGTCAATCTGCTTCTTGGCGAAGGTGACCTCAGCCAGGGTCTCGGCCAGCTTCTGATGGTTCTGGTCGGAGATCTGCTCGTTCTGGTTGGTGACATCGGCGACGGTGTCCTTCTCCTGCACCTTCTCCTGCACCTTCTCCTGGGCGCGTCTCTCCTGGGCACGCTTCTTGTAGGCACGTCTCTTCTCTCTCTTCTTCTCTCTCTTGGCAGCCAAGTTCTCATCGACGTCCGTGGTCATGTCCTCCTCTTGCTGGTCGGTTACCTCGCCGTCGGCCTGCTTATCGTCGACGGTGGGGCTCTTGGTGACGCCGTTGACAACAGCATCGCGGGCAGACTTCTCGTTGACAGACCTGTTGTCGCCAGACTGATACTTGAAGGAGTACTCGTGGACAAACTCCCAGTCCTCGACATCAGAGCCGGGCTGATCGACCTCTTGAACACGGCCGCCGGTGTTCTCCTGGTTAGTCTTGTCGGTAGCCATTTTGTTGTTGCAGGTGCAATTAATTTGTGAAGCCAAGTTGTCGATCCGAAGAGCTGTCTGTGCAATTCTACCTCAGTAAGGTAGTTCCTCTGAGCAAGAAGAGGCTGATTAGATGGAATTTCGTTCCTAGGGACGTGTTGGGGGGCAGGCAGATAGGCTGCCAACCTATGTTGTAGGGTTGTGATGATGTATGGTGAAAACTTCAGAGAAGAAATCGGAAGCAAAATATAAGACAAAGGTCAAGGTGAGATTTAAATCGAGAGGGCACAAACGAAGGAAAGAGCTGCAAGGTCCCGTTCGACTTGAAGGGTACCGTTTGATGGTCTTCGACATAAGGCCTGCCAGAGAAAGTAATGCATGGCCAAAGAAGCGGGCTGCAATGACAATGGGTGAACCCAAAGAACTGCGCAAAACTCATATCACAACCACGACAATATACTGAAATGGACTACTGCAGTGCACGGCAGCTCCGTCTGTCTTTGCTGGGTAACCTCACTGACATGGAAGTTAGAGTGCCAGGGAAATGATTGAGGTCAAAGCTCGCAAAGATGGCCTGGCCAAAGACTCAAAGACTCGGGAGTTTTGAATGAATGAATTCGATTCTCTGCTTTTTAGTCTTTTGACGAATGATGAGTTTCATCTTCATCACAACTGACATAGTGTGTCTGAGAACTGATACTGGGCTTTGAAATGGAATAGTTACTACTATAACAAACAGATCACAGCCAGTCATATAAGCAAGTGAGATGAGTTGAGCCTACAGTAACTGTAAAGTCCTATCAGAAAGATTCATGGAGCTATCATGTTTAGCTTTGAATGATGGATCAGATATGATAACTATGGTCTTTGTGATACTCTGCGAAAAGGACTGTCTTGTGTATCCTTGCTAAGCCTTAACAGCCAGTTTTATCTTTTATCCTCACTCACAACTTAATACATCTTATCTTGTGTGAGGTTATAGCAGAAGCTAATGTGCTTGAAAAGCTTCTTGGGATGAGTGCTATATGACCTGAGTACGTACTTGAGACCAAGTTTTGTCCACATCTCTCATAGCCTTCCTGAGATGTATTTGGCAGAGCCTCGTGAATGATGGGCGTTGGGTATGAAGGGTGGAGGACCAATAAAGTAGTTTCAAAGAACGCGCCCTGCCACCGAGTAAGCATGTGCTCACCTGTCAGAGCTCCATCAATCCTGAACGTTAGGCAAGATTTAATATCGAAGGGTAGCCTTTGCCTTGAAGCAATGGGTGACCCCAGTACATTCACTACGGAATGAACATGAGCAGCTTCGATGGTCATGATGATAACATAGCAATTAGAGGGGGCTTCAGGTTTGAGTAGTGCAGCTTTTGATTGATCTCTGACGTGTGACTTACACGATGTGGCCAGAAGCCTAGTCATGTTGTTGATGTCGAGACAACTAGGCAAGGCGGAGGTCGATCAGATAGGAAACAATCAGTTGAATGCTCATCGTCTCGTCACCTTTACCATTTATCTACAATCCAGCTGGCAGTGGCCGACCAAGAAAGGCCGAAAGCAGATATCGAGCCGACTCAGCGACGACGACGAGCCAATATGTTCATGCCTCCTAGCTTCATCAGAGCTCCCATTCCATTTCTCGAATGGACGCCATGCAGGTACTTCATCTTTTGGCTCAGCTGCGGCTACTTTAAAAGTAGCTGAGAAACGAAAACCGTCTCATGTCTCGGGCGAGCTAAGCAGCCCATCCGAAGACGACAGGCATCATCGTTCCCAATTGATACGGAACGAACGGATCTAGAATCTCAGTGTCTTCAAGCCACCGGGGACCCCTCGAATAAAGTGACAAAGTGGGACGAGGACGCTTTGAGGCTGGCAAGCTGGCATCGATGACGACTCACAGAACGCGGGTTTGGCGATTAGAGTTCAACAGCTCTTCAACCGTTTGCGGGCCGGATGAACGCTATCTCAAAGTGGTGACGCCAGCAACGTTCAGAGGCTTGACGTCGTGACATCTCTTGGCTGCAGGACGGACTTCCCTGGAGCTCTGGAAGCAGCAAGGAGCTTGAGCCTTGACCTCGATGCATTTCCGCGACTCGATCGAGACGAACTGATCTGTGCGCGCGCACTTAGAGTTTAGAGTTGATCAATGACTCTTTTCGTAGGATGGCTTCTCTTCCAGCGGTGATCGATGTTTCGAAATATCGACTAGCAGACCGCCAGATGCGCGACTGTGCGACTTTGCGACTCTGGACGCCGCCGCGGAGTCTTGATATACCTCAGGTCTGATAAGGGTGAAAATTCACAAGCATTTCCCCCACAGTCGCCAATCGTCGGTGAGAACTTTCGCATGACGGGGCTGCAGAGGGACTGCGCGGGCGGCGGTTGGCGTGCTCATGTCTCGGAACTACTGCAGAGCACGTAAACGGCCTGCATGTTGCTTGGAATGAAGCCCACTCTGCCATCGGCTCGGGACAGAGGGGTTGCGGCAGTGGGCACGAGACAGTCAAACAGTGAGGCGGCGGCTGAGAGAGAATGTGCGTGGCTGGAAAGATAACCGCGCAAGAGTGACTCTTCGATCGCTGGAGAGAGTAAAAAAACGACGTCGTCGTTGTCTTGCTTGGTCCCTGGGAAACTCAGTGTCTTCCGTTCCACACGGTTCCCACTTTGGCGCATTCTGGGTGGATTGTCCCATCCCATCGGAGTGGACAGAGTGGACTGACCACGCATCGCAGGCGTGGGTTCGACAGGGATGGTGGCGTTGGCGGCCCCGGGGCTGACCGACCCCTTGACACTCTGGGGTGCTGCGGTGCTGCGGTGCTGCGGTGCTCCTCGCCTTCCGTGTTGATGTTGGCGTGCAGTTGCGTTTGCGGAGAGCCCTCACTTATGTAATACGGAGCCCCGATTGGCGCGCATTGTGGGTTTTGATGCTTCCACAAGTGTCGCTTCATCTTCATGCAAGGACTTCCATTGGCCAGTGCAGTGTTAATGCGGGGGGTTTCTTCAAAGCGAGTTGAACGTCAAGATTTTTCCTTTCCTTTTTTCTGCTACCCGTCTTCGCTTCCCTGACTCTGCGACAAGTCTTGGGCAAGCCGCAACTGGGTCAAGCAACGGCTCGGAGGCAGGGTGTTGGCTGTTGTTTCCTGGGTTCCAGGTTCTGTCTTGCAGGACGCCCTACCTATCACCGTCAGACAAGTTCCAACGGCACTTCGATATGCAGCAGCAGAGGAAATACTTGCCTCGCCCGCCCGCTGGTGCAGCTACTGCGAAAAACGTGACCGAGAAGAGATTGAGGTCAGACCGCCAGCCAGGCCCGCGAGCTCGCAGTCACAGCCTGCCTGCTGTGGCCGCCCCTCTCTCCGATCTGTGCCGCGCTTCTCCTCACCCTGGGTCGGTATCTGGCAGCTGGTTCTGACGGAGATCATGCCAGGATCTGATGACGGATGCGGGTTTCTTCAGGCGCTTTAGCGAGAGTTCCCGACGCCCAGGTTCAGCCCAGGCCGTCACCCCGTCCAGTCCGGCCGTCTCGCGCGCGGCCTGGTCTCTCGTCCGTCTGTCGTGCGCCTGACCCATGGGCCTCTGCGAGTCTGGTCAATTACACAGCGCCATCGCTGAGTCGTCGATCGACTGGTCAAATCGCTGACGCCGACGACCGACTCAGGGAGGGGGAAAAAAAAAAAGGCCCCGTCGACCCAAACGGTGCGGTTTGCCGCCCACCTGTGCCCGCTTTCGCTACCCTTGTCACTGCAGTTAGTGGTATCCAGCGGTGTTATGCGTTGCAAAGAGGCAGGACACTGCAATGCGAGGCACATGCTAAACACAGGAAAAAACACCGCACAGCATGCAGACGCACGAAGGAGGAGCAGCTCCAGAATGAGGTGCAGCAGTTAGCAGCAGCCGCAGCAAAAACGAGGAAGACTCGGCACCTGGCCAAGCGGCACCTTTGGCCTTCCTTTTTTCCTGATAGACGTCGCAAATATCTCATGCAGTCATTCAGCGCAGCGCAGCGCAGCGCTTCGCCGCACTCCTTCGAGCGCAACGCAACGTCGTGTTGGGTTGTCCTTCGGGTTGCTGGATTCGGAACTGAGATAAGCAACGGACGGGACGGAAGTTGAACACGGTTGGGATTGAAGCCGCTTTTGTTGTCATGTTGTGTTGTCTTGCCATCATTCGCTGCGACGGTACAACGCAGCAGCCGTCCGGCCGTGTGGCAGTCAATCAATCACCACGGCAATCACTGCGACACTACGCCTTCTTCTTGGGCCTTCAGGTCGTGTTCTCGACCCAAGCAATGCGGGTGTTATTCCACGACCTGCTGCTTGTTTCCCTTCCATTTTCAGCCTTATCCCCACGAGCGTGGAACTGCGACCCTGACCTTAATCTCCTACGGGGAGAAGGGCCCCAAAGAATCGCAATCAGAGGTTGTCCTGCGCCGGAAAGCTTCCTCAGCAGAGGCTTCCCCGGTTGGCCGGCAATTCCCTGTTCTGGGCCATAATGGGCATAATCATGCCATGGGTTCCCAAAGGTCGCCCAACCTCTTGCGGCGGCGCGTCACGACCACACCACCATCATTGCCATAACATCTCATACTTATTCCTCGCGTGACCCGCTCCCGCGCATTTGGCTGTTTTCTTTGTCTTGCAAGCCTCTTGCGCCTTGTTCGTGCTTGACATATGCGCTTCCCCAAGCCTTCCGCCTCCTACCCTTTTTCGTCACTTTGAGTCTTCCTTGGTCCTGTCGCTAATACCTTAGCCTTGGAACTCTTGGACCTTGCTTTCCCTGTCGTACTACTGCACTTGAATGGATGATTCGATGGAGCCTTCCTGCACTAGGGCTCCATTTTCGACTTTGTCCTTCTCCGATTCGAAACCGCTTTTTTAAACCCCCGGCGTCCCCCTTCCTCCCCCGGGCGCCATCTGAAGGAGATTCGGTTTGAGCCTGGTGGAAACTAGTAGCCGACCTCGACTTCACCACCACCATCAACCAACTTATTGGGGTTGCTTCAACTTCAAATCATCTGAC